TAATTGCAACCTTTGTTATCATAAGAAAAGAGTAATTTAGATCAATGTCCCTTAAAAGATTCCCAACCTACCAAATATTGCAAAATTAGAGGAACTGCAACCGAGGGATCAATATTCCCTGCTATCACAACTGTAAAAGTCGATGGGTTCTTAAAACAGCTATTGAAGTATTCACATGCTTTTACTGGATCAATTTTCCTCAGGTCACTTATTCTAATAGGCTACAAAAGAAGAAACAAAAAGAATGTCAAAGAAGGCACAGCTGCCAGAAAAAGTCAGTGATATTGATATTTAAAGCATGATATCACGTGTACCCGGAAAAAGTAAGAGTTTCCATAATTGAGCTCTGTCACTCGATTTGCGAATGCAGTGTAAGGATCTCTCTCTTGAGCACGGGCAGCTTCTTCTGCCATTTGCATCACTATTTTGACTTCTTCTTCCCCAGGAATTACATTTGTTTTAAATAGTTGATAGACAAGCTGCGAGAAAAGTTAAATAGATTACCTTTACAGTAAAGTCAGAAAAGATGAGCAAAAGTATAATATTTAGCGCATTTAATTTAGTAAACCAGGGAAGAGGTGTTGTCTGCCTGATAGAATCCTTTGTTCTAAGCAGTAAGCATTTGCATAAATGAGTAGGATTATGGTAAAAAAATAATTTAAAACATTGACAATACTCTTAACATTTTTACATTATCCAGTGAAACAAACCTGCAAGGCAGTTTCCAAGTCTGAAGGTGAACAATCACAGGAGAAGGCTCTCATATAGGCCCCAAGCTTTGTACCAACTTCTACTCTCTTTCCAGCAAGCATCTCCATTAGCACTGATGGTCTATGGCCAAATACACCAATTTCTCCGGCAATGGTTGATCCCATTGAACATGACAAATACTCACTTTCAGGAAGTTCAGATAACCCCCCGTACGAGAACCCTGTAAAAATAACCTGTTGAAATGGTGCATAAGAATAATGTTTTTAATATGTACCGGTACCCCTGCTCTAAAAAGAATAACATGCCTTGAAATCAAATAAAAGAGATATAAAACTGTCTAAGGGCTAATTTAATAGAACTAAGATTCAAATGTTGCCTCCGGCAGGAAATCAAACACCTATAAAAACTGCTGGCAGTGATCAAAGGAATTGTACCTGGTCATCAAAAAAGTCTGTACACTTATAGCAAACCCGCATGCCATTTGATAGAGTTAATTCAGTAGCTCCAATATTTGAGCACTCTTTCTGCTCTACAATGTACCTGAAGTGAATTATTAGATTGCACTTAGAATTTAGTAACCAAAGCATATAGTCAATCTTTCATGAAAGAGATCATTTAAAACAGTTTAAAAAATCATCGAAAGAGAGAAAGTTGAGATGCCGATAGGAACCAAAAGAACCAATCACATTATGATTGAAAGAAAATAAAGTGCAAAGGAAAAATAAATAGCTATCGAGGTAAAACAGTTGCAAATATAGAATACAGGGACATTTAAAAGTAGAAAGGCCAACTTTACCCTGGAGCCGGTTTCACATTAACAATTTCTTCTGGAATGTACTCCTCATCCCTTGGGATAATGCTCCCTTCCTTCTCAAGATTGTTGATCTTGGAAACAACAAATTTAAGGTGATCAATTGTAGCAGAAGCTTGAGGTTCAATTGTCTTTAGGACACAGTTGCATGATGTTTGTAATTTCTCTGCGTACTTGGACACCTCTGATCCAGATATATCTATGCATGTAAATCATAACTAGTGCAAATTCATAACACTGAACCAGGTTCATTGCTATATAACTAAATAAATTATTTACTCACAAGACAAAATAGATTTTTGGAGTTGAGCTTCATACTCTAAACCAATAACAGGTTCATTGTGGATAAAGTGCTGCAAAATGAAAATAAAGAGATAATGGGTCTTTCTGGATTCACAAACCACAAGTTAGATAAATGGAAAAGATTGTAGCCACTCTAATAGTAATAATATACCTGAATATATTCATCTCGTAAGCTAGTTGATTGCATTTGATCACGCTCCAAATAGGCAGATTCAATCTCCGACATCAATAAAGCTCGAACAACTGACACTTCATGCTCTGAAAACCCATGAAGTCGCACCCTTGCAACCTGAAGATAAGTGCATCAGCAACATGATATTATTGAGAAACAGGAAGAAGGAATATATAAAAGTCAAGAGGGAAAAAAATGGATAGCAAACCTCAAATAGCATTGATTCTAGGGCCTGTAAAGTCCCTTTTTCTTTACAAGAAGAGCTCATAACATAAGCTTTTAAGGGGCGAACAAGATCATCAGAGGCAACAGAGCATGAGAAATATGGTGGATCCTTTCCACGAGAGATTTTAAAGAACCTTTGATTCAGAGCATGTAGAAACATGGACTCTACAAGCATGTCCCTATAGTCTTTTACTGTCTTCATCTCATCAGCTGGCATCTTATAGCTAATCATCACTGCAGACTTTTACAAGGCAATGAAAAAAGAAGTGGAATTATTATTTTTCGATTTCCTACAAATATATATGCTAAAATAAGTTAAAGACATGAAGTGTACTTACCCCAGCAGCTTCAGACTCCACAAAACACGAAAAACGTGGCTCCTCATGAGAAGGAACCGAAAATAATGGTATTATTGGAGGGTCAAGTGCAGAGATTTTCTCCTCAAAATGAGTCCTTATCAACTCAACAACACTCTAGAAGAGAGAGAGAAACATAGAGAAATTGTTGAGCAATCTTGACCGGTAAACAAACTTTTGTTGAGACTCATGTCTCATAATAGAGATGTCATGCTAACAAACAAATACTAACCAGTGTATCAGGAAAATCTCCAACAGCTATCAATGCCATATTGTGTAGATGGTACCATTTTTTATAAAACTGCTTCACTGTTTCAGAAGACACTGTTCGAATAACGTTTTCCGAACCAATTGGTAGGCGCCCAGCATACTGCAATCAACCCGGGTTTAGTTGTAAAACACTCCAACGTAAAATTATAATCCACAAATTACAATGCCAACCAAAAAATATTGATGATATTACTCTTAAATCTTTAAACTCCAGCGAAATCTCAAGTCTGAACAATAAGCGAAATGAAAGGACGTCACTGCAGACACTGAATGGAACAATATTCGTATCCCCATCACTTGCTGATGCAAAATTTGCTTGAGCTCCATTATAAAAATTAATACAGAAGTAGTGCTAAAGATTGGATAAATAAATAGATCTGATAATAGCTATGAGCAGGGTAAAGATCACTCTAAGACCTTACAGATCAATTAATGCAACAACTGGTGTACAAAGTACATGAGTGAACATTAATACCTTGGAACCTTCCATCACCAGAGCCCAGTGTGCGACTTGCATCCTTCCACTAGCATTTCGATTTCCTCTATATTCCTCCATAATTGCCCCTCTTTCTTTTTCCAGATCATCTTTGGAAACTCGAATCTGCACAAGAAGTCGAAGGTAAAACAAATGACCAGAAATGAAGAAGAAGAAGAAGAAGAAAAGAGAGAAGAAAGAAAAACAAGAAAACAATGAAAGGAAGTATCCAAATATGAAAAAACATGAGATAGTTGTATACCTCTGAACTGATTTCTGCCAAGACCGAGATTGCCTGAGACAACAGATGAGGTTTATCAATAGGAACAAACAACTCATACACAGTCTCATCAGTAGAAGTGACCGCATTCTGACAAGCACCAAATTCGGCTCCAATACTCTCAAGAAACTTCACAATATCATGATTCGTGTATCTTCTAGTGGCACTAAAAGCAAGGTGCTCAACCATGTGAGCAACTCCGCGTTCATTTTCCTCTTCCAAAACTGAGCTGCCAAGAACGCCATTAAAATCAGCATACTTGACTATTCCCTATAAAGATTTACTATAACACTTAAAAATCCCTAAAGAAGAAGCTAGTCATTGTGAGGTCTTTGATTAAGTCAATCAATTCTTGTTTCCACTCAATAACAGAGGAGGAAGCAAAACAAAGGCGGGAGAGAGACTAACCCAACTTTAACGGCCAGAGCGAGAGCGGCTCTCAAACGGGGCTTAGGATTCGACCGAACGTAGTAAGTGAGTCCATTGTTGAGTGTGCCGTAGTCCACACCTAAGGGTCGGTGTTCGAACTCTTGATCTAAGTCCACGTTTACCATCTTCAAGGACCTGAAGCTGTACTTCTTCGCCATTGGTGGGTTCTCTATTGGGAGCAAATCCATCTCTGTCGACGGCGGGAATTGGAGAAGAAAATGTTTGACGTTCCGTTTTCTGTAATTTTGTATGCAGTTCTAAATTTATATTTATAATGGACTTTGCTAACGGCAATCAGTTTTAGCAGTTGCAAAAACTGAAATCTTGATCGGGAAAATTTGTTCATTTTCAAGATTGGATTGGGCCTCAAACTGAATCGTACTTTCTTTCTGTTTTATTTATGTTTAGCTTGATGCACATGCACCATCTGCCCCCACTAACGTTTGCTTGTTTTTCTCACTTTAGTATTTTTTTTTTCATAAACCAATTTACTTTAGTTATTAAAAGAATCATTGTTATTTTTAGATATCACGGGTTCGAACATTAGCGATTACAACAGGATGATTGAACGTTCATTGTCAAATGGTTGAGAATATTTAAAACATATACTACTTTGTAATTATCTTAATTTAATCATATTTTTTTTATCAATAGTACCCCTAACTTTTCCTTATTTTTTCACTTTGATACTTAAATTATATATTTAATACCTAAATTATCAGTTTTGATCTATTTTTAGTACCTAAACTTTTTTTTACTTTCAAAAAACATGCCTAAAGTTTAATTTTATTTCATTTTAATATGTATGTTCAAAATTTAACGTCAAGTTTTAAAAAAAATTAAAAAATTAAATATTAAAACATACCAAAATTAATAATGTAGGTATTAAATACGTTAAGTTATTTTACAATAAGATACTAAAATGAAACAAAACTAAACACAATAACGAAAAATCTTCCTTTCTTAACATCTGAAATATCGAGGCAAAGTTACGGTGGAACTGAAACCAGTCTCCACCGTTATATTTTCCTTTCTTAATATCTGAAATATCAAGGTGAACTCTTTTATCCTTCTTTTTTCTGTAATCTCTTATACACCTTTTTTTAGTATGGCTTTCGATCATTTAGGTTAACAAGCATGGGCTTATGCTTCAATTTAATTTCTAGTGAATAGATCTAAAGAATTGGTTAGGTTGAAGTGAACCCAGCTAACAGTTTCGAAAGTTGTTTGCTATATCTTGAAATCTCTATATGTATATACTGATTCGGTATTGTTGTAGTGATGAATTCTTATGCTTATGAATGTCAAACAGTGGGCTCCAACAAGCGTATTCATTTTTTGGGATGTCTTGTTTATTCCGCACATGAAGATGTAATATGAAAATAGTGCATCTTCCTTTGCTATTCTGGGTTCTCTTCACTGTTGCTTGAAACTCGCGTGTTTGGATTGATTACCTGTACCCATGTTTCTTTCATCAGTTGCCTGGCTATATCAATATGGGGTAAAAAGAATTATCCATATCGAGCTTAGTGCTTGGTTTTTTGGAGCTCTGAAAACCATTAGGCATCGTGTGCTTTTTGCTGCATTAGTGCAGTCGCAATCTCGTGAACTTAAGTACCAACAAATCTGGTTGTCTTGTTTATTTAGACTTGTGGCAACTGCCACTTTTGAATCTATTGATTCTTGCTGGGTCGTTGACTTATTTGTAATTCTCGTTTTGAAAGGATACATTAAGAATTTTGAGGTTCACGACCCACATAGTGCGGAGATTTGAGGTTTGTTAGAAATCTTTTTGTCTTCATTATTTATTGCCATTTTAATGTAGTAGAAACTGCTCGGTATAGAGAATGCAAACATAGCAGCTATGTCAGTAGAATCTTCATGTCATGGAACGATGACCACTTCTAGTTTGATACTCACCTTGTTTATTGTTCTTATGACATGCAGTGGGGTTATGTCGTGATTTCTACTCCAGATGGTGTTTTGGATAATGAAGAAGCCATTAGAAGGAATGTAGGTGGGCAGGTTCTGGGTTATTTTCATTAGATATGATTTAAGACCGTATAATTCATTGTAAATTTGTAACATTTTGGGTTTAATGACTTGATCTGTTTTGATTTTTAGTATAATTTCCTTTCTTTACCAGTGTTCGTATTTGAGTCTTAGAATTTCACATTATTTGCACCTGTGGTAATCTGCTAAGGAAGGTTTTTCACTCGTAATGCGTCGTGCACTCCGTTTTTCAGATAATTCAATCATGTCATCAAATCCTTCCTCTTGAAATGAATCTCTAGGCTTCATCTACCAACTGAATGGCTGATATGCCTCTCCACATATTCACATTCGCAAGAATTGAAGACATCGCAGGCTTAATATATGCCAAAAAAAAAAAAAAAGTTTTATTGCATTCTTAATTCTCTAGAGTCCCAAAGGAACAGTTTTATTGCATTACAGCAAGTTCCAAATCAAAGATTATGAAAGCAAATCAAATAATATTTCAACTCTAGTTGGCAAAACATCCCTATAAGGTTTAAAGAAGAATCTGTATAAAATGCAAATCAAAAGAAGTCGCTAATAACATAACACAACATATCAGAATGTAGAGAGTATCTATACCCTAGCGATTCTGTCTGAGAGAATTCATGTGTGCGGCCAAGGTATCATAATCGGGTAGCTTCGGATGAACATGAATAACACTCTCCTTGGATGATCCCTCCCCAACTGAATTTCTAGCCTTTGAACTTTTGGCACCACCTGATGTTGTACTCTTCCAGACAGGAGCAGGCTGTTGTTCCTTTTCTGATGACTTCAAAGTTCCACCAACTGAAGAGCCTTTGGACTCCGAAAATGGCTTTGAAGGAGGTTGAGGAACCAACCGAGAATGTTGGGAACTTTCCTGGTGATCTAAGTCCTCAGAAACTGAAGTTTTAGCCTTCAAACTTTTGGCACCACCTGATGTTGTACTCTTCCAGACAGGAGCAGACTGTTGTTCCTTTTCTGATGACTTCAAAGTTCCACCAACCGAAGAGCCTTTGGCCTCTGAAAATGGCCTTGAAGGTGGTTGAGGTGCCAACTGAGAATGTTGGGAACTTTCCTGGTGATCCAAGTCCTCAGAAACTGAAGTTTTAGCCTTCAAACTTTTGGAACCACCTGACGATGTACCCCTCCAGACAGAAGCAGACTGCCGTTCCTTTTCTGATGGCACCACCTGATGTTGAGGTACCAACCGAGAATGCTGAGAACTTTCCAGGTGATCTGAGTTCTTTTTTTGAGGCTGTCTCTTTGGAATAGCTTCATTAGCATCAGTACTCCTAGAGGTAAAATTCTTCTCCTTGCCATGGTCAGACGCTACTGCTGGCTCGGAGGAAACTGTAGTTCTGCGATTGGAACTTCTCTGTGAATTTGAAAGAGAGGCCTTTGTCCTTCGAGATAAACTTGTGTATGAATGAGCCTTTAAACTGGTTTTAGGAAGATCTTCGTCAGGATCACTATTTCCAGAATCAAAATATGGGGAAGAGGCCCTTAAGCTTGATTTTTTATTTTCTTCAAAACTTGGAATTTTGTTGGATTGGCCTTCAATGCTATTAAAAGTCTCTTTTGGTTGTTCATTCTCAGGACCATCATCACTAGAGTCAACCTTATTAACTGATGGTCTTGTCCCGAGTTTTCTACTCACTTCATCGTTCCCCTTCCTACTGTATGGCTCTTGATTGTAAGATCCAGAGTTAACCGAAGTTTCCACTGCTGTGGATGAGGAAGATTGCTTAATTCTAGTTGATGTATCACTGGCTGCTTCTCCAAACACATCGTCTCGTGGAATTTTTGAAAATGGTGGATACCTATAACCCTTATTTCGAAGGCCACCTGTCAAGTCCCCAAATTTCAATTCCTTACTTTCTTCCAGACTAGACTCGTTAGAATGTTCAGTATCTTCAATGCCTTCAGCCAACCGTGGAGTGAAACTACTGCTTTCAACCTTGTAGGAATCCGTATTCTGTTTACCACTATCCAGACTAGGATTGCTACTCTTGACATACTTAGATTTGTCTAGCTCTTCTTCACTTTCTGAACTAGGGCCATAATCATCAAAAGTTGCAGGCAAATCATCAAAAGTTGCAGGCAAGTCATTCACGTTAGAAAGAATTGAAGAGCTAGTTAAACTTTCAAAGAAAGCAGGAGTAGGCCGCTCCTCTGAGAAAATATGTAATTTTGAAATAGATTTTTCAGGTGATCTTATGTTCTGCTCAATGCTCCAAGAATTTGTAGTTGTAAATGGATGAGTAGGTGATCTTCGACCTGGAGAAGGAGAATTCATGTTGTATTCATGTACTTTATTCACTTCCTCCGAACCAAAATTATCTTCATATTCATCGAAAACTGCTGGGGCATTGTCAAAAGAATCTGTTGTTTCTTTCGTGCTTCTTGGATGGCTTCCTTCATCATTGAGAAGAAATAAATCCTCACCAGAATCATTTGCAGACTTCTGATGGTTTAAATTTGATACAACATCATGATCATCATAAGAATTCCTTGTGTCATTCTCATTCTCTAATTGCATTCTCCTTTCACCTGACTTTCTCTTGTCAATTTCTAATTTCTGCCAATTTAAATTGGAGACAACATCATGATCATCAGTAAACGTGTTTGATTGAGAATGAGAAGGGTGATAGCTTGATTGTTCTCTGACCCCGACTTCATGATGATCAAGATTCTGAGGATTCTTAATATCATGCAGTTCATTCACAAATTGCATCCTATTCTTTCCTGAGCTTCTTCTATTCACACCCGGTTCAGCAAAATGCTCCATCTGCCTGCCATCAGACATGCTCATTTGAGAACGAGCATCTGCAATTTCATTATTCACTGATGCTTCCTCATTGAAGGAAGCTGCAGTAGACTTAAAGGAACCGTGAGTGGATTTATCACCACTCCTTGCAACATTACTATAAACATTTTCAGCCTCTCCTTCCTGGTTTTGCTGTTCATGCTTGTCAGTTTGTTCATAATCCCCAGAATTCCTTCCACGACGGGAATTGTTAACCGGATGTCTGGTATGATGTTCATTTTGAGATGATGAGCCAGTATACTTTTGCAGTTCCTCATCTTTCATACCATGGTAAGATGATATGCTTGACTCCATTGGATACTGCCGGGAGATATTTCCCTGGCTTGAAAGTTCAGCAGCAGCTCGGGCAGCCATACTTGCTAGCTCTGCAGATTCTGCAGCTGCCTGAGCAGCAGCAGTGGCATCTTTAAATTCCATTTCCCGATGTTGCCTTGGTAAAGAGGAAGGTCTCTCATTCCCAGAATATGAATTCCTAAATTCCATCCCTTGATTTTCAGTTCCTGAAAACAAGGTACCCAAATATTTACTAACAATTAACATACAACAAATTATTCAAGAAGATCAACAGCAAGTTTAAATCTAATAACACATACCAGGTTTTGAATTTGGTGGATAAGGTCCAGAGGACATCGAATTAGTTCTACTAGTATTTGAATAATCAGAACTATTAGGATGAAGAGATGATCTTGAGTTGTGCTCATAGAAATTTTCTGGTGCATCACTTTTTCCAATGTGTTTTGAGTTTTGAACATGAGGTGGCCCCTTAATATTATTAGGAAGTTGAACACCTGGAGGTCTCTGCTCAAGACTGGGTGAAGCTTGGATAATTGGAGGATCTACCGAAATTTTGGTAGCCTCTATATTAGTATCTGGTCCATTCTGCAGAAGCAAAAATTCATATAGAGAGAGCATTTGTTATTGAGCAAATCAGTTGACCACTTCATAATTGAATATTCTCTATGGAGGGGCCCAACTCCCAAGTATGTTTATGTAACAAAAAACAACCTGTTTTACACCACACTAGCCTTACCAGCATGTCATCATAAATCTTTGATTCTTTAGCTCCAAATGATTCAGGATTCCAGTTGATCTTATGCTCCTCAGCAATTGCAGTCAAAATTTTGAGTTTGGTTGGACCATCAGGTGCATTAGCAGATAGCTTTTCAATCAACTAAAGGAAACAAAAGGATTTTGTTAGGGCTATATAATTCTCGTTATGGTAGATACCATGAGAGTAGTACATATGAACTACTTTTTTATTCACAAGTAGATGTTCCATATAAACTCACCATGCGACCAACACCACAATTAGGACGCAGTTCAAGCGCAGAAGAAGTAAATTCCTTTCCATATTTTGCGGTGAAATGTTTGGAGACATCCTTGAGTTCTGGTATTTCTTCACACCTTGCAGATGCAAATACGACACTTGATATTGCTTCCTTCAAATCGATGGGGCAGTTTCTGAATAATTCAGGTCAGTAAAAGCACAACTCAGTTATTAACAAAAGTAGCAATTGACAAAATTTACTTCGGCAGAAAGACCAAAAGCAATTATAAAATCTCCCTCTCCATAAACTAACCAGGATACTTTTATTATTATCCTGCCCTTCAAAGCCAATGAAATGATCAGGCACTACAACTTCTAGCAAAAGTTGCCAATCTACTAGAAGTTCGGATCAAAGTAGTTTTTGGTACTTGAATATCATTTTCCCTAGCAATGATACTTGGGATGTGTCTGACACGCATGTTCAATTTTGTAACTTTCTTTCCATATATTAGGAGGGTCTTTGCATGTCATATCGGCGTACCTAAATCCATATATGCATTGGACACGAGTGTTGGACATGGATATTTCAAGAAAAGCGGAAGATGAACTAACAAAGTACCCCAAGAGTTCCCCAGCTATCAAGGGAACTAGACCAATTCTAATTGCTGTAACAATGAAGGTCTCCTTTTCTCTACTCATGAACAATAGCAAACTCAGTAAAGTTACCGTAATTGGCTAATTCCATAAAAGGCGATTAAAATCAATATATGAATAGTAAAGGAAGTCATTGTACACACTTTTGTGATTCGATAATCGGCATGCGCGCCACAATAAGTTCACAGTATATCTCGAGAAGATTATACGCTGCCACAGTCTTTTCTTCTCTGACAACATGCTCCACCTGAAAAATTAAAAATAAACAAATTAATACCACCAGAATTAAAAACAAAATCATGATCGAGAAACTTCGAACAAACTTTAATACCCGAATTCTGGCCGTTTGATCTTTTCCCGACTCCAGTAACTGGGCTAATTCCCTCTTTAAGTGCTGAACCTGTGCTTCTCTCTTGTTCTTCATTAGCTTTATTCGCGGTATCGCTAGCTTTAAAGCTGTCTTGCTGCATAATCAAAATTAAAAAAAAAAAGTATGAATAAAAACTTCAAAAAATTATCAAAAGATGATCGTACTTCCTCTTCGATTCACCCAAAAAAAATTCAACTAATAAAACAGTTATTGAAGTAAAACGAAGAGAAGAATTTCACCATTTGGCTGGCTTGAAGCTCCGGTGAAGCATATTTCTTGGGTGGGGTGCCCGATGATTCATTAAAAATAGGAATTAAAAAGGGGGGTGCTCTGGAAATGAATCTTAGCGATGAAGAAAGAAATATATGGGGGTCTGATTGGAGTTTTCGCGTAAGGAAACTGAAATGTCTTCTTGAGGTGGTCAGATCAGCCTGATCGGCAATCGAATCCAATTACAACACTAAATATCTGGAAACAGTGTTTGAAAAGGTGTGGGTCATATTCTAGACATTTGATTAAGAGAGGGCACGTGGAAATTAATTAACGACTGATGAACTGGAATTTACCAAAACACCTCCCAAAGGTACATAAATTCCTGGATCTCCTCCTTGGTTATGATTGTAATTGTATTGTATTGTATTAGACGCTTATTGTGTACTTTTAATATAACTTTCAATATAAGATTTTTCGTGTTATTTTTATATTAATAGTTTAATGGAGAATTATTTCTTTATCAATTTAAAAGAAAAGGCTACGGTTCCACGTAATGACTTGGCACATGAGAAATTAGAAAGATTGAAATAGTCTCACAATGAAACAATCAAATAAAGAAAATGCCAACAGGTCCACGAAACTTGTAAGCAATCGGCTGATAAAGATCTGGTTTACGCATTTGGTGGTTGCGCTATCATCTTAACCCCAATCACTGGACTCAATCAATTAATTCAAGGATAATTATGAATTTAGTACTTAAATTATCGATTTTAATCTGTTTTAGTATATAAACTTTCATATTTTTTTAAAAAATCACACTTATTTTTGTTTCATTTTAATACTCACGTTCAAAATTTAACATTAAATTTTTTTAAAAAAATTAAAAGTTTTGGTACTAAAATAGACCAAAATAATAGTTTAAGTACTAAACGCGTTAACCGTTGGTACTAAAATGAAACAAAAACTAAACGTTAAGTATAATTTTGAAAAAAATAAAAAATTTAAGTACTAAAATATATCAAAACTGATAGTTTAGATATTAAATGTATAGTTTACCCTTAATTCAAATGGCGCTCTGTTTTAAGTGGCTTTTTGAAAAAATGAAGGGTAAATATGTTCCAATTCTTCATTGAAAATATCCAAAAATTACAATTATTAATAGGATAATTTCACAACTAAACATAAAATATAGGCTTTTATTTATGTAATTATGTACATGAAGTTTTAATTTAATTCAATTTTATAAACTACCATTAGTAACGTAACACCATTTTAACATTAGATATTAAACAAAATTTCTTCCATATAAATTATATCAAATCAAAGTTTATGTTTATGTAATTTAAGTAAGAATCGGATTAAAATATCTTGCTGTCATCTCTAATACATCATACCCTAATCTTAATATAATTAAGAGTAAATTACACGTCTAAACTAACAATTTTAATATGTTATAGTACCTAAACTTTCAATTTTTTAAAATCATATCTAAAGTTTATTTTTTTTTCATTTTGATACCCAGCCGTTAAAAATTTTAATTTTTGTTTCATTTTACACCCCGTTCAAAATTTAACACCAAGTTTTAAAAAATTAAAAGTTTAGGTAATAAAACGGATCAAATCTGATAGTTTAGGTACAAAGCACGTTAAATTTTTAACGATAGGTATTAAAATGAAATGAAAACTAAGCGTCATGTGTGATTTTGAAAAATTAAAAGTTTAGATACTAAAATGAACTAATTTAAGTATTGAATGTGTAATTTATCCTATAATTAACTAGATCTATTTTCTGATCGTAGAGCAAAAAAAATTCCATCGAAATGAATTATTAATGGACGCTAAATCCCAAGTTCAATCAGTAACATCATCTCCCGTGGCTTATAAAAAAAGCACATCAAATGAAATGGAAGTCTAATTTAGTTCAATTTTGAAGTTCAGGCATCAGAGTTCATCGTACCGGGCGCTGCCTAATCGGCTAAACAGGATGGCCATATCCATACCTTGCATCATGGTAGGCACAGCCATCTGAATGGGGCAGTTACGAGAAAACCCAACCTGCCCAGATTTTTCTACTTTCTTTATGCAACGCTTGAACTTCTCGTGGCATTTTATGTTAATCATACCTGTAAAAACAAGGGCTTTTCTGTTGTGATCCCGTTTTGCAATGCAAACAATCGTGTAAACAATAAAAACGTATTGAATCGAGAAAGCTAGGAATTTTTCTTCTAATTTGAACCTTTTCTCTCGACGCACTCGTCGTGGATCTTGCAACAAGCGTCCAGATCGTCGCACGGTTTTTCTCCAGGACAACCAGACCATCCCACCCCACAATATTTACCGTATCGGATCCCAACGGCTTCATTCCAGATTTGAAAATACTTTCATCAATTAATTAAGAAAATGGAACAAGTTGAATTCTAAGAAAAATAATTAATTACAGAGATTAAGAAGATGGTGCTCACAATCACAGTTTTCGGCTACGCAGGTTCTGCTACATTTTACCTGTAAAATCATACAACTTTATTGTTAGAACAATTTGGTTTTTATGGAGAGAACCAAAGTTATGAAACTGGATGCAATCGTTCAAATTCTCAGACTTAATCGGGGGAGAAAAAAATTAGGGTTTTGAGTTTTGACATTTGAGAGTACTAGACCTGGGAATCATTGGTAGTCGAATTGGCGAAGACGATGAAGAAGAAGAAGAAAATGGAAAAAGTTGCTCCCAAACGTGTCCGAGCCGGAAAAATGGCACCGGGTAGCATTTCAGTAACCGATTCGTCGTCCGATATGCGCCTGGTTACGTTATCTTCCTAGAGAGTATCTTCTGGATCGCGTCGCCCAACCCGCGGAAGGAAATGTTGAAATTACAGGAGCGCCCCGTCCAACTTTTAGTTCCCACGCACTGGGAGAGGGCTCTGGTGGAGACATCGAAATCCTTAATTGGACTGGGCCTGCAGATCCCACTTATGTGGATTCAATTCACGATCCAAATTGAGGTATAAATTAGTTACATACACATGTATTTATAGTTTTAGGTGGAAATATCTTCCAAAGTTTGTATATATATATATATATGGAAGGGAAGGGAGCTAGGCGGGTAAGGATTGTACAAGGAGATGAAAAACTTAATCGGGAACTCATATAACTATCGGATAATGAAGATTTTTCGCAAAATTTTGGCCGTGCAAGGCTTATTCATTCCAGTTTTAGGCTAAAAAGCAGAAGCTTTTGATTCTTCATATGTGCAAACATAAAACGGAGAGCAATTGGGGCATAAAACGGAGAGCAATTGGGGCACTACAATGAGCTATCACCGTACTTTAGGCAGCATGTTTCAGCAGAAAAATTGGGAGCTGCTTCATCCACAAATGGATCGAAGAACTAGCTTTTATACTGCAGACGACCACAATCTCAATCTACTCTGACCACCTAGTTAAAAGCTACTACTAGAAAGGAAATGCGAACCACTGAAACTAATAAGATCTAGTGACTCAAGGCTAGGTTGGCGGATTAATAACAGGGAATGAAACAACATAGAAGATTACAAGGGAGAAGTTTGACAGTAATTTGCACAATTATCATCAATCTTGGGTGCAGTTAATTCTGTGATGACAACAAGAGAACCAATGGCAATCCGATGGGTTGTTTGATTCATCGTAAGGGTTTGAATAATAAGCTTTCCAGCCAGCAAAATACGGAGAGTCTTCCCCCACGAGTTCCAGAAACTGCAACTTTTGACAGTCCGACACTGGGTTTCCCGATCTCAATAGCCATTTTCTTCTTCTTCTAAACCTTGTTTTTGTACAAAAGAAGGAAATGATAGAAGAGAGTGATGATGAATGAAAACCCTTGCCAATGACTTCCATTTATAGGAAGGATCCAATAACTTGCCTGGTTTCTTTCATTATGTACAAAAAAAAAATCAATGATTGATTGTATAGTGTAAGCAATATCAAAGGTCACCTTTTGCAGATAGTTTTATTTAACTCAAAGTGACAACTGTTAAGCTTCTGTCAACATGTCAAATATTTCTTTATCTCAATCTCAATGAGATCCATACCAAAAATGGTGGTTGATATAGCAAGGTAGGTGCCTATTTTTTTTTATTTGTTATTAATGAGTTTTAAATTTTTTATACTTTTTATTGGCAAAATCTCGTTGATAGTGCGTTGAAATTTTTTTTTTCACGAAATAGTGGGATCGTCAGATTAATTGCTCAAGTGGTGTCCTCTACAGTACCGGGGGTAGGTCGCCATGCACGCCCGGCGACCTACCAGGTCGCCATGCACGCCCAGCGACCTGGTAGGTCGCCATGCATGCCCTGCGACCTACCAGCCAACGACCTCCATGCCCATGCACGCCCATCTCGCCAAAGGAGCACGCCCATCCATGCCCTGCTGCATGCTCGCCTGCTCGCGACCTTACCGGGACTCCATGGCCCCGAGTGTCCCATGCATGAACCGTTCCTTGGTCGCCTCGAGTGCCCCATGCATGAACCGAGCCCCGAGTGCATGGCACGATCTCCCCATGCATGAATCCTTGGTCGCCCCGAGTGCATGGCGACCTCCTTGGTCGCCGGGCGTGCATGGCGACCTAGGAGGTCGCTGGGAGTGCATGGCGACCTATGGTTGGGTTGTGCATGTCCCATGCAGAGCAAGCCACGTCGTAGGTCGCCCGGAAGGCATGGCGACCTACGGCCACACTGTTGATTTCGTCCTATTTCAGCAAATAATGTTGGGATAACGTTATTTCGTGAATTATTTATTTTGAGGGCATTATATCGTGAGTTTAGCCCTTTTTATTCGGTTCATGGTTATAAGTGATATAATTTAAGTATTTATTTTTATAATAAAACCTCTAATAAGTTAATCACGTGCGTGTTTTAGTTTTTTGTTATAAACATGTAGGCATGTTCCAGTATGTAAGGATTAAGATTTGTGTCAAGATCATGTTTTGATTAAAGAATATTCAATAAACGAAAACCAAACACGAAGAATGTGATTTTCTTCGTGCACGATCATGGGTAGAGATCATGTGCATGAATTCAACATCATGAGATTCGCAATTAGATTGCATATTTATACCTAGGGCTGAGCAACAAAATTGAGAAAACCGAAAAATCGACACGAACCGAGTAAAACGGTTCGGTTCGGTTCGGTTTGGCTTTAAACGGTTTGATTTTCGGTTCGGTTTAAAGGCTTCATTTTTTTGATTCGGTTCGGTTCGGGTTTTCCATATGGAACTCATTTATTCCATATTGAACCGAATATGTAATTTTTGTAAAAAAAATTATTGTTTTAAGTGATTTTTTTATTGAAAAACCGATAAATCAAACCGAACCGAACCAAAAAACCCGAACCGTTAAAAAAACCGAACCGAACCGAAAAAATCAGTTTTGATTTTTTTAGTTTTTTAACTATTCGATTTCGGTTTCGGTTTAAATATTAAAAACCCGTTTATTTCGATTCGATTCAATTTTTGATAAAAAATCAAACCGAACCGAACCGAATACACCCCTATTTATACACCATATGTAGCAATGCAAATATGGAGTAGTGGTTGATGTCGACTGTTTTGCGACTCTAGTCTCTAGGGGAGAGACAAGGAGAGACAAGTATCAAACAATGATTGTGGAAGAATTCAAAACACAATCTTTTATTGTTTTTTTAATGAAGACAATTGAATTTCTTTATTAATAGAAATAATCAAAATTACAACGCATTAAAATAAAAATTTGAAGACAATAATCATCAAAATATTCATACAAAAGTAAAATATTAAACCTAAAGATATGAAGAAAAATAAAACTTTTCATTAAGAACAATGACCAACATCAAAACTCAATAACCTTCATAAAAATTCATTGGCTCTGTCGAATGAGACGTTTTACGAAGTGATAAAGGAATGAAGAGCGAATCAAATAATCTGACAGGCTTCTTCGCTACATAATTATGATTTCATCGACAAACAACCTTTTACCAAAAGAGGATATCTGACTATATGTGCATACAAACAAAAAATAAATGCCGTGATGATTTTTGTGCGATAACCAAAACGACTGCAAAGGTATGTGAAAAAAGTATCAAAAACTATAATGATCGTGCCACAAGAACAGAGAAAATGCATGTCACAAGAGCATAGAAAAAAGTTTCACAATGACATAAATTCTTATTTAAAATTAAAAGAAATAAAAAAATAAAACACATAATATAAAAAAAATAAGAGAATTAATAGTCATCGATAGTCAATAATCAATATTAAAATCGGTATCACCGTCGATTAAACAAAAATTAAAGAAAAAAAATAACATGTCTTAAAAATATTAAAAGAAAAATAGATTGAAAGAAGAAGAGGCGGCTGGGGTTTTATATCTTTTATTGTTTTTTTATCTTTGTTATTGTAATAATTGCGTTATTGTTGTGTTATACGGATTTTGGTTTAAATTTTAATTTTGTTAAATATTATTTTCATTATTATTTTAAGTATTTTTTATTAATCTAAGATAATTACAAGTGATAATATTTGTTATAAATACTCTTAATCATTTATTAATGAACGTTTAAATACATTACAGTCGTTGATGCTCGAACTCAATACATATAAGAATAACAACCAATATTTTAACTTTTAAGATAATTTGATTGGTGCTATTATTTTTAAGTAGTTAAAAGTATTCATTTAACAACAAAATTTGTAACCTTATCTAACCAAACACTGTAATATTCAAATCCTGTTAAACAAATCAAATATGATAATACAACGTTATCATAGTAATAACATTACCAGCGTAAATTATCATATCGCTAAACTGACCTAGAGTAAAACGCTCGCACGAAAACCCTAATCTTCCCAAGCCTTTCCCCCTTCCATAAATGATAAAACCCTAATCACCGTCTTACACAAAATATGGGTCGCCGAGAAAGCAGTAACACAGTTCAAACCACAGCTCAAACCACCATGAACTCTTCGAACAATTTTGAAGGAACTAAAATACGCTTCCAAGACGCCGACGACGAGGAAATCGCCAGCGGCAGCTCCAATCTCGATGATTCAATCGTTGCCGTTGATAAAGGTAGTGAAGATGTTTCCATGGGATAACCCGACGTCTCCTTTTTCGGTTGTGAAGGCGATGATGATAAAATCAGTGCTGATTATTACTTCGATTCTTACTCCCATTTCGGTATATTTTATTCTTTCTTGTCCTCTTTCTTAATATCAGTCCTGAAGTTCGTTTTTTACAGTTATTTTTCTTGTTGATTAGAAAACGAGGGGATGTGAGTTTTTTTTGGCTTACCTTTCATACGAAGAAGCTTTGATTGTGGGAAAGTTTCAGTCTTAGCAAAAGTTAGAGCTTGTTGATTTCAATAATTTTCTTATATCCATCTGATTTTTGGTTCACTGGTTGTGGGTATTAGGTCGTACATTGGATTGACTAATGTCTTAAGTCTTATACACTGCTTCTTTTACGCCCAATAAGCATTGCTTTAAATCTTATTTTGATTCCCTCCTTTTTTAATGTACAGGCAGGTATTCATGAAGTAAGTGCGCAGCAACTTAGACGCTTGAATCTTGTTTGGTTATTGTTGACTTATTGGAATTAATGCATATCACATGCTATATAAAAAAAGTTATTTTTTATGCATTTACCCTTCTACTTCAATTTATGGAAATTATTTCCGCGTCACTGTTCTTGGTTATAGTGGAAAAACTTAGTGGGATTTCATAATTTTGGTCTTTTCCTTTTTGTCTGGGAAACGTTTATTCTCTATGTTAACCTGCTACCTGTGTTTCAGGAAATGCTCAAAGATGTAGTGCGAACCTCGACTTATCAAAATGTTATTTATCGAAATAAATTTCTATTTGAGAACAAAGTAGTTCTTGATGTGAGAGCTGGAACTGGAATTTTGTCCCTGTTTTGTGCAAAAGCAGGGGCAGCACATGTTTATGCCGTATGTCTTCCAGTTTACATTTACTTTTTATTTCTGTTCTATATATTGCTAATATTCTTTCTGACCAAATTCTTACATTCCTAGTGTCTATCTCTTATTTTCCTAACTTGGTTGATATTTCTTCCATTCCTAGGTCGAATGCTCTCATATGGCCGATATGGCCAAACAAATTGTTGAAACAAATGGCTTGTCTGATGGTGAGGTTATTGAAATTGTGTGTTATTGTTCCTATCAAAAAAAAAATTGTGTGTTATTGTATTTCTTCCTCTATTTGAGGGCTTTTTTTACCCAACAATTATTTTATTGCTGCAGTTGTCACAGTTTTGAAAGGAAAGATTGAAGAAATCGAACTTCCTGTTGCAAATGTAGACATTATTATATCAGAGTGGATGGGCTACTTTATATTGTTCGAGAATATGTTGAATACAGTGTATATGCCCGTGATAAATGGCTTGTAAGTCACTGCTATGTTGACACTATAAATGTCTGCACTCAAAGCTTTTTAATGGTTGGGAATCTGTTTTTGCACTTTTATGATGTAGTTGGAAGCTATTGATGAGTAATTTAGGTTTGTGCCTTTCAGAAAAGATATTCAAACTGAAATACATGCATGCATATAAAGGCGGAAAATTCAGTATGGTAAATGCTTGGCCATTTGTGGAGCTGTATCTGTCAGGCATGGCTTATGTTTTGTTGTGAAGAGAGGTTACATGTATAGGTTTTTTTCTTGTGATTATTCGGTATGTGCAGCCAACTACAAATCTAATATGACAGCTGAGTGGTGCATGATCTAATATTCTTGTCTTCTTGACCTCTTCCTGTTTTACGCTTGCTAATATATTATGCTCTTTTTCTTGGTTAGATCATATTGAAACTTTGATCCCATCATTGTGTAAACTTCTCTTGTGCAATTTTCTCTTTGTGCTTTCATGTGAAGGGGCTGGGCCTTTGAAATTTATTTTCACCCGTACTTATATTTGCTCACATAAGCAAATTTTGTTGGTTTCTTATATGTACACGTTCTTTTTCATTCAATTTTCTTATTTTTTCACTCGTGTCAAGTCATTGATGGAGTTCGTGTTACCAGATAAGATTCTCTTTACTTGACAGCAATTGAGGATGCAGAGTACAAAGATGACATGATTGAATGTGAGTGTATCAGATTTCTGATTTGTTATTATTCTAGGTATGCATTTTCTTATGTGCTTGTATGCTTTCAACCAATTTTTCTATTGTGCAATTTGACTTCTATAATCTTATATATGCCCATCTTTTCTCTCTGACATCATCTTGCTGCAGTTTGGAATAATGTTTATGGTTTTGACATGAGTTGCATAAAAAAACAAGCCTTCACGGAACCTCTTTTGACAATAATGTGTTTGGAATGCATCTGAATTATCCATTTTGCTTTTCTGGTTTCAGACAATGGATATTTCCAAGATGACTCCTGGGGATGCTTCTTTCACTGCACCTTTCAAGCTTAGTGCAGAACTTGACGACTACATCCATGCTTTTGCTGCATATTTTGATGTTTCATTTACCAGATGCCACAAATTGATGGGTTTCTCTACAGGTTTGTATTTTCATTTCCCAAATTCCATTTTCAATCCAACGGTAGCTTACAGAATATATCCATCCTTTGTCCTTTTATCTTATCAATGGTTAAAATCAGCCAACATCCTAGAATAACTTTGCCCTGGCTAATGGCAATATGGTAGTAATGCATCTGTTAAAGCATGAAGTTTTTGGTGCAACCAAACCTTTCTTTCTAATTTCTGCAATACAAAAACAAAATACAGGACCAAAATTGCGAGCTACTCATTGGAAGCAAACAGTCTTGTATCTGGAGGATGTGCTAACCATATGTGAAGGGGAGGCAATAATCTGGAGCATGACTGTTGCATCAAACAAGAAGAATCCCCGAGATGTCGATATAATGGTTAAATATTCCTTGAACGGTCGTCGTTGTGCGGTTTCAAGAGTTCAATTCTATAAGATGCGCTGATCATTTTTGCAGAGCATTCCATCACTACTACTAGCTGTAACTCCTCTTACCATGTGGGAGGAGACCTTATTTGCATGTGTCATCAACGTTTCATTTCCATTATTTCTTATTCCTTTGCTGTTTCCTCTTATTCCACTCACCTTTTGTACCTTTTTATTTCTCTAAAAAATCTTTCACGAGAAAAAAAATGAACAAAAGTTATTGTAAATTAGAAATGAAGATGGTTAAAAGTTTAACCTTGCAAATTCTTGGATTCAGATAATGTTAAGCATAATTTTGAATATATTTTTTTTAAAAAAATAAAATATTTAATATCATCTTAATATTGTTTATAAAATTATATATTTTTTACCAAATTATAACATTATGATAATGGTAGATTGACTAAACCATGAAGTGATAAAAAGTCCAAAACAGCCCAAAAACCTAATCTTTAGAGCTCAAACATTCACTCAAACTCCATCCTCCCAGCTGCTCTCGTCTCTTCCTTTATCCAATTATGGGAGTAGCTAATTACATAACAGCGGTCCTCAATTTCATAGCCTTCCTTTGCTCGATCGCCATCATTGCCTCTGGCATCTGGCTCGCCCAAAAGCCCGACAACGTTTGCATCCACATTTTCCGATGGCCTGTCATTGTCCTTGGCTTCCTCATCCTCCTTGTCTCCCTTGCTGGTTTTGTCGGTGCCTGCTGCTACAAGAAAGCTCTATTGGGCTTTTATCTTTGTTGTATGGCCATCCTCATCGCTCTCTCCCTCATCTTGTTAGTCTTTGCTTTCGTAGTTACTCGTCCTGATGGAAGCTACGATGTACCCGGTCGGGGTTATAAGGAGTATAGACTAGATGGGTACTCCAGCTGGCTTAGGAACCGGATAGCTGGCTCTGAGAGCTGGAACAAGATCAGGGCTTGCCTGGCTGACTCCGACGTTTGTCTTAAATTAACTCAACAACAATATATGACCGCTGATCAGTTCTTCGCTACTCATCTCTCTCCTCTTCAGGCAAGTTCATGCTCTGGTTTTTAGATCTCTATGTTTCAATTATGGATTATTGTCATATTTCTCTCAATAATTCTGATGATTTGATGGAAATATCAGTGTCCTTTCAATGAATTTCGCAGATTATGGTCTAGGAAAGCCATTCGTAAACAGAATTAGTTTTTTACCTGATTGAATTCAGTAATCAAATCGTTAGCTTTTGATAATGCATCTGAAAAGAATCATGGGGCAGCCGGGCAAGACAAAACGTTAGTTGAAAAAGTTTTTCATTTTCTGGGTGGGAGAAGTTTGTGTCAATGGAGAAATGAGTGCCTACTAGATTAATTATTTGCATGGAATCATGGGGCTTTGACCCCACGGATTTTATATAGTTGCCAGCTTTGACACCGACAACCGATCATCTTCTGGTCCAATTTATAGTTGTTTTCTGATTAGTTTAAGGTTTGATCCTTTGGGTTCTTCTGTTTGACAGTCAGGGTGCTGTAAACCTCCAACAGTTTGTGGCTACACTTTTGTGAACCCAGCATTGTGGACGAACCCGACGAATCCAATGGGGGGCCCTGACTGCAATCTGTGGAGCAATGACCAGACCCAACTCTGCTATAACTGCAACTCCTGCAGAGCTGGTCTGTTGGGGAATCTGAGGAGTGAGTGGAGGGAAGCCAACATTATCCTCATCGTGGCAGTGGTCGTACTGATATGTGTCTATGTCATCGGCTGCAGTGCCTTGAAAAATGCTCAGACCGAAGAACTCTTCCGCCGCTACAAACAGGGTTGGATCTGATCAATCTTTCACAACTTCCGCTTTCTGATTCTTCTCTGGAATTTAGCTACCCTTTATTTTCTTCCATGTCTTTCGTTGAATGTATCTGTCATCAATAATGAGACGTGTATATATATAAGATTGTATGAAATAAGTACGTTAGATTAATCATGTAATAAATAGTTTGAAATTTCTTCTTCTTCTGGAATTATGATTACGCGGCATGAACAATTCAAGGAAGAATGCATATAAGATCCAAGTGTCCATGATTATGAGAGAGGTGATGTTCTTTGTTTTATAAAAGAAAAGCTTAAATAGATGCGTCCATATGAATGCACATGGATTTACATCAATGCAGCTTAAAGTCTGGTTTCAAGTTGCAAACTTTGAGGCATTTTTTTTAACGGAAGAAGTTATTGAAAATTGAAAATATTTAAAATTACAAGGGTTTATATATATCTTCGTAAACAAAATACATAATTTGGATCTTTTTTATAACATTGGAACTAACCATTTTAGTTCATATAAAGATTATGAAAAAAGGTTAAAAGCCCAATCAAAATATTCGAACAAAAAATAGATACGAACAAATTTGATTGCATTGACAAATGAATCATAAAAGGGGATTGAACTATTGAAAGACCACCTAGAATCAAAAATCAAAGTTGAGTGTTATGAGAAACTATACACGAACGTAAATCGTGCATCCAAATTTAATCAAAGGGTTTATAGCAAGAAAGATCAAAAGAATTACAAATAAGCGTTACTTTAATCGGTTGTGACGTCGTCAAATCTCACCTTAAGATAGCATAAATAAAAGAATAACTAAACGACCGAGAAAGAAAATGAAAAACGTACTAAAAACACATAATTATTCTTATTAAAAAATAAAAAAAAACAAGAAAAAAAATCAAAGAATAACAATCAACATCAAAACTGATATCATCAACTAAATAAAATATAAAAAATTGATATAATCTATAAACTCTTAGGATGCGTTTGATTCACAGAATGTAAGATTATCAGTGGGAATGTATAATTACCAGGGAATATGATTACTGGAAATGTTGTATTTTGTGTTTGGTTGGTTTAGCAGGAATGTAAGATTATCTTGTTTGGTTAAAGGAATAAAAGATTATTGAAATGTATATTTGACCAAATTGTCCTTATTATATATTTGTTTTTTAACAAGTTAGAAAATATTTATATATTTTCTTTAAAAATTTAAATTCATAAAATTTATATATTTTTTTTTATAAAATTGAAAATATAAAAAGGTTTAATCTAAGGGTAAAATTTATTTTAATCCTTAAACTTCATATAAAATTTTAATTATATATATATTTTTGTAAATCTAAAACAATTTAATGATAAATTTGTAATTTAACCTTCGTATAAATTTTATTATTCAATGGCAGAATAAGGATATTTTTGAGAAAAAAATTTAAGGGCATTTTAGTCCAAAACGTTGGTAATCCAACAATACCTAAGAAAATGGAGATAATGACATTTTCGATAATATACTCCAAAAAATTCACTATTGATAATGTAAGATTACCGGAAATGACATTCCCGACCAACCAAACAGAAGAATGTAGGTTTCATTCCCATGAGAATCTCACATTCCCCCAACCAAACATATTCTAAAGAAAAAGAAAATGCGGGGGAGGGAGAGCGGGAGCGGGTTTACTAACTTTTCTATGAAAAATATAATAATTGTAAAAGAGAATTTTGCAAACTTTGAGGCAAGTTGACTATATATTTCAATGTAAAAAGTATATTTAATAAAAGTCTTAATATTGTCCAAATTATACTTAAAATATTGAATAGGTGTCTAAACTATTTTTTTAACTTATTTAATATCTAAGGTTATAAATATTTTTTATTTACGTGTCTCAGATGTTACGGTCGTTATAAAACTTGTTAAATGATATGCTTCACAATTTTAAAATATTAAAATATTAATTTTTTAAAAAAATATTATTAAAAAAACAAATGGCCAAAGCCCTTTCTACCCTGTGTGCTTCCCCCTTTTCCCTTTCCTTCTCCCTCTTTCCATGGCCAAAGGTCAAATGGCCAATTAAACGACTGACCGACTGTGTCACGGTTGGTGAAACAGTTGATTATCACAATTAAATTTAAAGGATTGAGTGTTTGGATTTCAAGAAATAAAAATTTAAATTTAAGAATTTGAAAATTTAAAAATTTTGAGTTTTGAGATGGTAGTAAGAATGGGTAACCGGAAATGATCGACGGTCTGAGTAAATGAGACTAGAATAGGAAATGTGACATTTTTCGCAAACTTTAAAAAAATTATAAAATTATCATATTATTATAAATATCACTTAACGAAAAAATTAACGTCGTTGACGGTCCGAATACTTAAATAGATAACGTTTGTAATGTTAGACATCAGGATAAATCAAAAAATAATTTAAACACCTATTTAAAATTTTTGATATAATTAGAACACTTATTTTAATATTAAACCTTAATAAAAGGATAAATAACACCGATGCAATTACACTTTAAATACCTAAATAACCTCTATGTTTGCAAATAATGATACAATGATTAACTTTGAAGGAGGTATATAGTAAAAATATTGTAGTAAAAAATTAATTACTGTTTACATGACGAGCATAAAGCCAAATCAACCATATATAACCTCCACTCATATTCATGCCTTCCCTCTTACCGTCTCCTTCCTCATTTTAAAGAACGCTCGTCGTCCTCAATCCTCATCCAAAAATCATCCGAAGACCCGCTTGTCCTCTTTGTAAACGGGTCAACCCATCATCGTATATCTCAAAATGGATCGACTCAGATTCGTGATCGACTCCGCCGAAGCCGAAGAAATGGCCAAACAATCAGGCCAAACCGTGCTCCAGCTCCTCCGGTCGTTAGTCAAAACAACCCAGATCCTAGCCCGACCGCCAATCTCCAAATTCCACGTCGGAGCAGTCGGAATGGGATCGTCTGGTCGGATCTTTTTCGGAGTCAATCTTGAATTCCCGGGCCTTCCCCTCAACCAATCCGTCCACGCCGAGCAATTCCTGATCACCAACCTTTCCCTCAATGCGGAACAGTGTCTTAAGTACCTCGCCGTCTCCGCCGCCCCTTGCGGACATTGCCGCCCCCGATGTCAAGATCCTCGTTACTTCGTCCAAAGACGAAAAAGAAAACGAAATGAACAACAATTTTAATGATAAAGACCAAGAATTTACTCCTTTGTCCCATTTTTTACCTCACAGGTTCGGCCCGGACGATTTGCTACACAAAGACGTCCCTCTTCTCCTCGAGCCCCACCGAAACGGCTTCTCGTTTTGCGACGATTTACGCAACGGAAAAATCAACGGTGGTGATGATGGCATAAAACACGCGGCTCTTGAAGCGGCCAATATGTCACACGCGCCGTACAGCGGGGTGTCCATCTGGAGTGGCATTGCTGGACGTTGAAGGCAAGATATATAAAGGGTCTTACATGGAATCAGCTGCCTATAACCCCAGCTTGCCGCCGGCTCAAGCGGCGCTCGTGGCTTACGTGGCAAGCGGTGGAGGAGGAGGAGGGCTATGAGAGGATTGTTGGGGCGGTTCTAGTGGAGAAAGAGGGTGCCGTTATTAAACAAGAACACACTTCAAGGCTACTTTTGCAATGCATTTCGCCGAAGTGTGAGTTTAAAGTGTTTCATTGTACAAGAAACTAGTTCAAAAAAATAGAGTTCCGAGTACAATCTATGCTTATACAAGAGTGTTGGATCATTAGAAATAATGGGAATCACGGATCAATCGATGAAAAAGAAACGATCTTCGTTGAGGAAACCAAATCCAACAATGAAAAATGAAACCAGTCGGTTAATAAAAAGTTTAATCTTTGTGATGCATTGTAATATCTTGTCCAACTTTGAATTATTGCCTCTGTTCTATTTTTTGTCGTGTTCATGGATTTAGATGAGTTGCTTGAACTGTTCATAAATGAAACATGAAAATCAAGAGGGTGAGAGGCAGCTAAGCTGATATGATTGATGATGAATCCTTTAAAAGTTCAATGGATGGGGTAAAGATGCCTCTGTTTCTTCTTTGACTGGACTGTTATCGTCAGTATGCAACGTGGAAAGGGGTACATTTTTCAGCTGTGATTTTAATTGGAGTCATCCAGCCCCTGAAATTCACCATTGTCATCTTCTTTTGAGACAGTCTACCGATCTATGACTATGCAGGCACATAGGAGTCTGGCCGGGAGGACAAAATCGAGACTTCGCTTAAGCGCATTATCCTTCTTGTTACTTGACCCAACCGGCCTCAGTGCAATCCGAAACATGGTGATTAGGTTATAAATTAGTTGAATTTATCATCAGAAAGTGGGATTGCAGAGATTCACGTTTATCATCCGAAACATGCTTGAGCTAGATGGTAAGGATTCCCGGTTTGTATTCTTCTAAAGATATAAAAAAATGGCAATATGCACAAATATCTATATACATGGCATTAATGCACATGTATAGAGACAATCTTATAACATGTATTGTAATACTCTATACCAGTACAAAACACAATCGACCAATCAGAATGCTAGACAGAACCACGGAGTGGCTAACCAAAATTTTTCTTTTTAACTATCAATTTAAAACAACCGCTTGTAATACTCATGATAAGATAAATCAAACACAGTTTAAATAGAATAGTTTACATCAGGAGTCCCCAAAAATAATAATTCAAATCATATAGACCACTGTTTAAAATAAGTTATGACTCGAATATACAAAAACGGAGTTTTCAAATATACATGCCCTTTAAAAATGAACTCGAGACATACTCAGCACTAGTTGATCCTAATCACTGGTGGCAAAAAGGTCCTCCGACTGCTCCTCGACTAACCTACGTAAGGAAACAAAATTTCAAACGCTAGCTAACTAGTCCAGTGGCCAAACTAACAACTAAGTCATACTAAAAGTGTTCATGACATGCTTGAGCTAGCTGATAAACTGCAATAATGAGTATACTCATATACTGCACTCTCTACTCTATAGTAGACATCATGGTGCGGCTGAGGTGTAACACCCAATCCCGTACCCGACC